GTGATTTTAAAAGAGAGAGAGAGAGAGAGAGAGAGAGAGAGAGAGAGAGAGAGAGAGAGTGTTTATGTCCTTCCTTCATGGAAACAGTAAGCTCCTGGCAGAGCCCAAGTAAGACTCTAAGTCCTCTGCTGTCCAGAAAGGGAATTCCTCTTTAGGGTAGCTGTCTAACCACATGGCCCTCGCTGACCTGGACTCTGACCCACCGGGACAAGGACATTTGTGATCTTGCAGGAACCCAAACTGCTATCTCTAAGGAGAGCCTTCTCTGCCTCTCTAGGGAACTGTTTTGATTCTCAAGGGCTTTGAGCCATGCTGTAGGCGGTGACAAAGCAGGTGACTCACCCCAGCCCACACCACATTCTCTGCTGAAGGGGCCCAGCATCTGTCTGTCTTGGGAATTGGATATTCTGAATCAACTCAGGCCCCAGAAAAGGAGAGGTGCAGTTATGGGCAAGGCCTACCTCATACCCAGTGATAAAGTCAATCTAGTGATGTTTGCTGTCTGAATAAACATAAAGGAGATAGCCTCAGAAAAGCTAGTGTATACTTTAGGGTGAAAGGTTACAACTACGGAGCTGTTGGGTTCCACCTGGAGAGGAAACAAGCAATTTACTCTCCCCTGCTGGCTCACTGGTGTCTCATCATCCCTCCAGAAGCTCTCAATAAAAGTACAAGGGACTTCTTCCCTTCCTTCACCCTAGTCAATACCAAGACACTCATCTTACAGTTGAATGCTGTTTTTACAAAGTTACCACATTAAGGGAAACATCTTCATTTGGTAAATTCTCTTGAATTAAAAAAGAAGAGGATGAGGAGAAGGAGGAGGAAGAGGAGGAGGAAGAGGAGGGGAAGGAGAGTGATTGCCGTTCCAGAGGTCCCGAGTTCAATTTCAGCAACCACATGGTGGCTCACAACCATCCGTGATGGGATCTGATGCCCTCTTCTGGTGTGTCTGAAGACAGAGTACTTATATACATACAAATAAGTAAATACATATATATTTTTAAAAGATTCAGAGAGAGTTGAGAGAGAGAGAGAGAGAGAAAGGGAAAGGACAGGACAGGACAGGACTCTTGGGTATGGCGGAGGAGTAAGTTTATTATAGACATGTGGGAGAGCATAGCCAGAGGTGGAGACATCTGAGAGAGTCCAGAGTGAACATGGCCAGACTGAGCTGGGCCATGTGGGGAAAGAGGGAGGGGATGGAAGGGAGAGAGAAGGGACATTAGCCAGGAGGGCAAAGGTACAAAAGGGGCACATAACCAACATGGCTGGATTATTTAGGGAAGAGCATCCCAGCCCCATAGGCTGGAGAGTTCAGGGTAGAGGGTGGAGTAAGCCAGCCTTACCCTGTTACAGGTAGGGACTGAGGAACGCTGGGGGAACTTGATGGTCAGGCCCACTTTGATATGTTAAGTAGGCACCTCAGCGCTTTGTCCAGGGTTTGAAACTTAACACTGTCCACTATAAAAAGCTGAATGCATTTATTCTCCAGTGCTTTCAAAGTATAAGATCTTTTCTACTAGGAACTGGAGAGATCCACTGACTCATTCCCTACTTCAGCCCAACCAACAAAGAAAGTAAGTTGCATATCCATATTGCTGTAACAGAAGGAAAATGTAGTAAATGTAGGGAAGGTCCACAAAGCTGAGCTCCTGACCTTGGAAACACACCGTGGGAAGGTGTCAACTGTGCTGAGTTTTCGAGAACTGGTTGGATGTCAGCATTATAAACAGATGAACTGGCCCGTAAACAAAGAAGACTGCCAAGAATAGTGCATAGTAGGATATATGTGACCACAGATGGAGTCAAACATTAGGCAAACCCACAAATAAGGTTCAACAGCATGTACACTAGGCCCAAGACTTAGGGACACAGGCAATGGCACAAGGAAGAGGTTCTGAGCAGCCAGAGTACAAAATGAAACCAAACTCCAGCAACAGGGTTTGCTCTGAATGTGAAGTGTGTCAGGATGAGCTCTGAAGTAGAATGAGATCAATGCTGGCTGTGCTCATAACATCTGTGGCTTTCAAATATTTCTATAACGGACTTAATAGGGTCTCTCTCTCTCTCTCTCTCTCTCTCTCCCTCCCCCCCCCCCCCCCCCCCCCCCCCCCCCCCCCCCCCCCCCCCTTTCTCTCTCTCTCTCTCTCACTCTCTCTCTCCCCCCACCCCGTGTGTGTGTGTGTGTGTGTGTGTGTGTGTGTGTGTGTAGAAAAAGTGGGGAAGAGTAGGAGGAAAGAGGAGGAGTAAGAAGAGGAGAGGGAGGAAGGAGGAGGAGGTAGTAGTTGTCAGGTATCCTGGCAGGAAACAGGAGGAGTTAAAGGGAGGGGGTGGTGATGTAAGCACAGTGTACTCATGAATGAAATTCTCAAAATCATTTTAAAATGTTTAAATTTAAGAGTCTTTTTTTTTTTTTTTTTGGTTTTTTGAGACAGGGTTTCTCTGTGTAGCCCTGGCTGTCCTGGAACTCACTCTATAGACCAGGCTGGCCTCGAACTCAGAAATCCGCCTGCCTCTGCCTCCCAAGTACTGGGATTAAAGGCGTGCGCCACCACCGCCCGGCAATTTAAGAGTCTTATAGGCAGGGGCTGGCAAGATAGATGGCTTAGCAGTTAAGAGCAGTGACTGCCCCTGTTGGGCAGCTCCCCGCTCCTTGTAATTCCACATCTGAAGGATCCCACACCCTCCTCTGACCTCTCCGAGCACCCACACATGCATATGCACATATACTCACCCAGATATGTACAAATGGCACACTCGTAAATAAAAATTTTTAAATATAAATAATTTGTAAGTTCTCTAGGCAAAGTCCCTACTTTCTGCATACTGGACTTCGGTGGAATTTAATAAATATGATATGAGGCATGGAGTACAGTGTGAGACTTGTAGCACACGAACTCTGTGACCTCCTTAGGTGAGGGGGTTAGACAGGGTGGGGGAAGGTTAACGAACCCTCTAGGAAAGAAGAGGTCAATAAAGCTTCTGAAGAAGCCTGGAGAAAGAGCGCAATGACTTTAAAGCTCTTGACTCTACAACACACCATCTTAGGGGTGCTGGTAAAACTACCCACCAAACTGGTAGTTGCTTATCCCCGAGGAACTCAGTGTTCCTCCAGCAGCACCAGAAATGCAATTAGCAGAACTGAGCTTGTGGGTGGAACGGGGAGTAGGAGCCGAGCAGAGAGGAGAGGCAGCACCCTGGGCCCCTGCCCAGACTGTGGAGGATCTCAGGAATCGGGAGGTGGGTAAAGATAGCTCCAGACAGACACATTTTTAATTCCAAAAGCTCTCTTACACTAGGAAAACCAAACACAAATCCAAGATAATTTTTCAGATTTCCAAACTTGCTCTTTTAACCTAAAGATGGCCTACTCAAGCCCAGCAAGGGAGATGCCAACACACACAGGACTTCATACAGATGTCCTGTAGCTGCCCCTAGACAAGTCCCACGAGTAAATAAAAAGAAAAGCAAAAGTCCTTTGGTAAGCCCTGCCATGCAATGTGTCTGTTTTTTTCTCCACAGACCTGCACAGGGAAGCCACACTTGTCTCTGTGCTGGGGAAATCCCAGCCTTCTGGAGCTGAATGAGCTTACCTGAACCCTGATGGAAGACACACAGTGCTCTGAATTCAGATCCCTGTCACAGGGCTTGTTCCAAACAGAGTCTAATCATTTTATTTTCTGAGGAGGACATTTGTAGGAGAGGGTGCCTCACACATGGTAAAAGGCTATGACTGTTTGTCTTTGGTTTGTTTACCTACTTATTTTGAAACAGGGTCTCTATGTAGTCCAGCTGTATTGGAACTCACTATGTATACTAGGCTGGCCTCAAACTCGCAAATCTCAGCCTGATTCTGCCTTCTCTTTAATTCTACAACTAAAGGCATTAGCTACCACAGCCAGCGCTTGCTTCCTGAGGCAACAACTACAGAATCTCTAACGTCCTTTCAGCTCCTAAAATTGATGATTTGGGGAACAGCCCAAAAAATTCCAACCCAACCACATTATCCCTGGTATCCTACAGCTGTCATTTTCATCTGTCTCACTGGGGCCGGGCGTGAGAGTGGTATCTATCCCCTCATACTGAAGTGGAGGAAAATAGATAGGCAGGGTTAGGGCAGAGCTTCGTTGGTTTTTTTTTTTTTTTTGGTTTTGTTTGTTTTTTTGAGATAGAGCTTCTCTGTCCTGGAACCCACTTTGTAGACCAGGCTGGCCCGAACTCACAAAGATCTACCTGCCTCTCAAGTGCTGGGATTAAAGACATGCACCACCACTTAAGGCTAGAGCTTCGTGGCTAACGACAGAGGAGGTCAGCTTAAATTTCAAGCTCCTAGGATCATCTCTTAAAATCTTCACTTCCTGTTTTAGCTGGGGGCGGGGGGTGGGGGTGCTGGCCCAGGAGAAAACAGCCCTCTAAAAACAGCAAGCACCAAATTCTCTATGATGTACTTTCCACAGCACGTAACTCTGAGCAAGTTCAAGGCTTCTGTGGGTCCTAAATCAGAACTTTGCAGATCCTCTCAGGGCTTCAAAGTCATCAGTGCCACAGCTTCCGAAGGGCAGAGCCTCAGCAACACCGGCCTTCGGGACACAGCCTTGTCCCCTGGGTAACTCGGCCGGCTTCGGGCTCCTAGGTGTCCTCGGGCTGGAGGGTGAGGGTGACCGCCTGGAAGCTTCCCGGGTAGGTCCGGGAGCTACGGGACGTCTGGCACTGAGGTAATGGCGAGCAACTACCTCACGCCCCACTAGGTCTCGGATACAAGACAAAGCTCGGGCTCGGACACGAAGGAGTTGAAGGGACTCTGAGTCTCGAAAAGATCTGGCGACCCGGTGCCCAGTCACCGCCCACTCCAGACTCAGTGGCGACTCAGGAAGCGCCGGTCCACGTCTGCGCATGCGCTGTGCCAGCACGGGCCGCATGGAGAGACGGCCGCTAGGGGGCGCGACGGAGCAGTGCGGCCGTGCGCATGCGCACCACGACTGCTGACTTGGGAGCTGGTTGCCTGCGCGTGAGACCCAGCTTGCTCTGTGGCTGGTTCCTGTAGAGCCCGGGCCAAGTGACTGCACCGTAAGTGGTGACCATCCCCTTCCACACACACACACACACACACACACACACACACACAACTCAGGAAGACATATTTGAGTGAAGGAAGCCTGGCTTGAGAGACTGGCCACGTTCAGTGAGGAGCCCTACTTCCCCCACCTTCAGGACCCGGGTTCAGAACAGGCCTCACTTTCCTCATTAAGATCAGGAGGCGAACTGGGGAAGATGGCCAAGGCCAGATACAGCCAGTTTCTGGTAGTCTTAGAGGAACCAGATTTGGCCACAGAGAGATGCCAGCTGCAATCCATGCGTTCCAGAAGTGCATCTCTTCACCTGTGGCCGTGGAGAATTGAGAGGCAGAGGACCAGCAGCAGTCCTGTGTCCTCCCAGGGCCACAGGGGCAGGAACACATCGTAACATGGCATCCTTGCCTTCGCAAACACTGCCACCTGTTAACTGGCTTTGTGAAGTGAGATACCCCAAAATGTCACAGGGAACCAGAGACGGGCGTGAATTGGGCTTCCTTCGTGCCTACATGGATGCAAGGTCCAACCGGAGCTTACAGTCTGGCTGATGGACCGAGCTGCTCCTCCCGGTCCTTAGCTCTTAGGAGTGGAACAGAATTAAGGGAAGACAGAGACTCCAATATGTCCCACCCAGCAGGCCCAGGGGCAGGCAGGAAACTCCTGGATCTTCTGTTTCTTCATGCTGTTCTCTGCCCTGGAACTTTAAGTGGCCTAGACTCCCGGGACTTTTTCATTTAAAGCCTGGTTTCCTCTCCTTGATTGATCTGTCCTTTTCATCATCTCTGCCACACAAGCAGTCACCTTCCTGTGAATATAAACCCTCACCTTCCCCAGGATCCTGTCCAGCCATCAATGAGTAGCTGAAGTTGGGTTCCCTCCCTAAGTCTGACCTCCTTTTCTGGTATTCTAGTGAAGAGTCCTAACTCCATGGAAATACCCTTTAACAAAGGGTATTCAATAACAAAGGTAATTCATTACTGTTCAAACAAAAATTTAGTGATTTCAGTTCATTGGTTCTTTCTTTACAAATGACAAAAAGGAAAAAATACTTGAGGACTGAGGCAGGAAAACCACTTTAATCCAGCAATTCCAGACCAGCCTGACCACATAGCAAGACCGAATCTCAAAACAAGTGGGCAAGAAAGTCTTTTGTCCTGATGATGATATGATTTGGAAAATGTCATCTCACTCCGGGGATCTTCCCTGATCACTGCCCCTCCTGTGCCTTGGATTGGCACTGCATAGTTATTTCCCAAGGTCAGAAATGATACCTTGTAAATCTGAAAAGTTTCAAATCTTTTGAAATCATACTGAGAAAGTCTCTAGCACTAGAATTAATGGAAATATAACAGATATTTTCATACTCATAACAACATAATCTTTTGTTTGGGTTTTTGTTTGTTTTGTGATTGTTGTTGGTTTAGTTTTCCTATGTGCTGTTTTGTGTTTGTTTTTGAGACAATCTCAAACTATAGCCTCCTGAGTGCTGGGCTTACAGACACACCACACCAAGCTCAAAATCACCTTTATTAGTGTTTGAGAAATGCATACTGTGTACGGTGGGTTAAGGCTCCAGGTCAGCACACATCAGTGGTAATAGGCTACAGTAGAGTTAGACCTGAGTGGCACACACCTGTAATCCCACCACTTGGGAAGCTAAGGCAGGGGGACCATGTATTTGAGGACAGACTAGGCTACCTAGCAAGTTCCAGGTCAGCCTGGGCTACATAGTAAGATTCTATCTCAAAAGATCTTTTTCTTTTTTCTTTTTTCTTTTTTTTTTTTTTTTGGTTTTTCGAGACAGGGTTTCTCTGTGTAGTCCTGGCTGTCCTGGAACTCACTCTGTAGACCAGGCTGGCCTCGAACTCGGAAATCTGCCTGCCCCTGCCTCCCAAGTGCTGGGATTAAAGGCGTGTGCCACCACCGCCCGGCAAGATCTTTTTCTAATGTATGTGTTTCTTAAGATTTTTCTTTGGCTCTTTTTTTCTGTTTGTTTGTTTTCTCATACTCTGGTTTGTTTTTATTTTATCTTATTAGTTTTTTAGATGCTTGTTTGTTTTCTAATGAGAGAGAGAAAGAGAAAAAGGTCTATATTTTAGTGGGTTGAGTATCTGGGAAGAGTTGGAGAGGGGAAAATATAATCAGAACATATTGTATAAAAATCTATTTTCAATAATAATGAGGAGGAGGAAGAGGAGAAGAAGAAAAAGAGTATAGTAAGGATAGCAAGCTAGCTCAGCCCACAGAGATACTTTATGCTGGCTAATAACCTGAAATCAATCCCTGGAACCTACATGGTAGAAAGAAAGAACAGACTCTCAAAAGTTGTCCTCTAAACACACACACACATACACACACACACACACACCCCAAATAAATAAATAAACAAATTTAAAAATAAAATGATTCAAAGCACTAATTGACCACTCAAAACCTCAAGCAAATCTTCTCCAGTTTGAGAAAAAGGCTTTGGGATCAGAAAGTCATCATTACTTAATGTGACTCTGAGCAAATAACCCAGCCTGAGCCACACAGGGAGCTGGGTATTCAGTAGAAATCTAACTCTCTCATTTACACATGCCTTTATCCTGGCCACTCTGACAGTCTCATCAGTAAAATATGACTAACCATAGTAATAATGACTAGAGTTTACTGTGTAGTGTCTGTGGGTCGTGTCCTAAGTCAAGTCAAGCACATTCCATGCCCGAGCCATTGGTTCCCCATCACAGCCCTGGAAGGGAGGGACTGACAGTATCTCCATGTTATGAGTAAGGAAACTGAAACGAAGTTTAGTCATTTGCCCAAGGCTACCTTGTAGCAAGCCCAGGACCGATTCCAAGCAGTGTGACTACAGTGCTTTCTGAACTCTGCTAGCCTGCTGCCTCCCTACTAAGGAGAGTTGTGAGGATTAACTTAACAAGGCACATACAGCCTCAGCTTAGCACAGGACACACAGATAAGGAGATCAGCCTCTTTGTTAGATGTAAGTGTGGTTTTGTCTACAGGGCTGAAGCAGTTTCTGGCACAAAGGAAATTCTCTATAAACACTCTTTTCCTGATGGTCACTCCACATGCTGGGTCCTAGACACATTGTAGGCAAACAGACCACATCCCAGAGTGCAAGCAGATGTGGAGAAAGTTCCTTTTTATGCTTGAGAATTTTCCTTAGGACAATACCTGCTGATCATACCTTTCCTGCATACAGTTCTAGGCCACTAGTCAGGTTTTTTTGTTGTCTCCTCCTCATTGTCTTTATGATCTTCTAGAGAACAATTTCTTTGTATTAGGAAAAGCCCAACCTTTATGTCATGTCACTGAGGGGGACTGGCATTAACTATTGCCAGTACCTGTGAGATTTCTAAGACTAAGACACACCTGCAAAGCCTCGTTCTTTGAATGCCTCTTCCTGGATCTCCATCCTAGGTGGCCCATCCAGGTACACACATGCACGCGCGTGCACACACACACACAGAGTCACACACACATAGTCACACACACTGTCACACATACACACATACACACACACACACACAGAGTCACACATATACACATAGTCTCACACACACAGAGTCACACACACAGTCACACATACACACATACACACACACACAGAGTCACACACACACACACACAGAGTCACCTTCTCCTCCAGCATCTACTTATTCATTCCAGTAGCATACAAGTGAAGGGTTACTGGGTTACTGTGTGTCCAACACTGTCCTAGATACTTAGGCATCTTTTGGCCAAAAAAGCACACATTTCACTGGCTTCTCAGTTCCCTCGGTCTTCACTTGAATGCTTTTTTGAGTCCCTTGTGTGCATGTGTGTGTGTGTGTATGTGTGTCCTCACAACTATTCTTTCCTTTCCCATCCCTCACATTTCCTGACTATGTTTAGAATGGCCTTTGGCTCTACCTCCCCCACTTTCTGTTTCTTTCTCCACTCCCATAATGACAACCCTGAGTTGTGGAAAGAACAAATTTGAGGGAGAACTTAGCCTATTACATGTATTTCTCTTTGAAAAAGACCTTGTTGCTTGCCTTCCATCTTCTAAGGCAAAGCTCTTTGTTTCTGGCCTGGGCAAGAGAGAGAGAGAGACCAGGCTGCAGCAGGTGAGCAGGCTGGGTTGTTGAGTTGTTCAAAGCAGACCTACATAAGGTGAGCATGGAAGAGAAGAACATGGCCAGCTTGTCCAGTTCTAGGATCAGATGCTCCCAAGCCAGAGAACCCGTTGGCCTCACTCACTGACTGGCACCCTTCCTGGCATAACTGTATGGGTGTGGCCTAGACATATGGGTCCTGATCTCCCTTTTGGGCTCTTTCTAACCATCCGCCTCTTTCCCAGAGCCCACATCTTTCCCTTTCAAACTAGCTCTTAAACCAGGTTATGAATCCTCTTGGGAGTATCCCAGAGCAGAAGGCTTCCAAATTAAGGGAGTACAGCTCTTTTCAGGACACCAGAAACTGTAAAATGTGGTAGGTTGGGTACTGGCTCAGGGAGTTAAGACATGTTCAAAATACACATGCCCACACCTGTAGAGGAGTGGACACTTTTCGGGACAGCCAGAGGAAGGTACTCGTCCTTATATCACAACAGACCTTACTCCATCCATCACAGCCGCAGAGATCGTCAGCTAGCTGTATAATAGTGGGCAGAAACCAATGGGTACCACTGTCTACGCTGCTTCTGTGAAGAATCTGGGGGGTAGACATTTCTAGTTTAAAAAAAAAAGTTGGGGGGACACTGCCCTGGATATTAGAAATAATGAACTAGGTTCTACAGAGGAAAAAGTTCTTTGGGTTTCCCATCATACAACATTGGGCCTTGGCCTCTATACTGCTGTTGATGGACTGAATTATCTTCTACACCAGGAGGCTAGGTGCTGAAAGGAACTACCAGAAGAGGCTCCAGAAAACATGCAAAACAGGGGCAGATATTTATTAACTTCCAAATTATTCCCCAGAAACTTGAAAATGAGTATACTGGGTGCTGGAGAGATGGCTCAGTGGTTAAGATCACTGGCTGCTCTTCCAGAGGTCCTGAGTTCAAATCCCAGCAACCACATGGTGGCTCACAACCATCTGTAATGGGATCTGATGCCCTCTTCTGGCATGCAGGTGTACATGCAGACAGAGCACTCATACACATAAGTAAGTCTGAGAGAGAGAGAGAGAAAGAGAGAGAGAGAGAGAGAGAGAGAGAGAGAGAGAGAGAGAGAGAGAGAGAGAGAAAATACTCAAATACTCATTCACCTGGCTGGAGAAAATGAAGAAGGCGAAGGTATTGAGGAGAGATTGGAACTTTATTGAGACATTCTCCCTGATGAAACCAGAATGGAAAGGACACTGGAAAGGTCGCCATTGTTCAGGCACAGACACAGATGTTCCCCTCAGGAAATCTCTGCATCCCACGTTTCTCCTGGGATGAAACTCCCTCCTCCTAGAGTCAGAATCCTGCTCAACATCTTTCTCTGCAGAGCTGGGCAAAGAATGAGTGCTTAAACCTGTGTGACTGTCAGCGGCCTGTGGGCAGGAGAGGAACAGAATGGAGACGAAGAAGAAATAGATGGAGAAAAATCCAAAAGGAAGGTACCACTGGTAAGGTGCCTTCCCCCAGATGCAAATACTGTAAGGACGTATTGGCCTTACTTCACCTGCTTCCCTCTAAGCATGCAGGCACCGACAGCTAGGACAGAATTCATACAGTTCAGCTTTTCCCCCCCAGTTTTTGCATTGAGAAAAACAGATTTGCCACACAAAACCCACAGGCATGAAGGGTGTGAAGGAGAAGGATGGGAAGGACAGTCTCTCCAGAGAGCACATGATAGAGAGAAGAGAGGAGTAGTTTGGAAAAAACCCAAGACAGATTGCTGCTCATCTACCCTAGTCACCAGGCTCCATGGATAACTCTTATGGGAGGAACTCACACCTTGGAAACAGTGTCCTGGCAGCTCTGGAGCTTTTGATTTGTGGCAGATCCTGGGCCCTACATAGAGCCAAAGCAGCAACCTTCCTCGGGAGTGGACACCAGACTGCTAAGAAGTCAGAGAAACACAAACTCCTAATCAGTGGTAGCCTCCACTGATTACCAATATGCTTATGCTACCTACTTGATCCTCAGAAAGAATAACTTTGGCTCAGCCTTCCTTCCCACTTTCCTTCTATTCCAGATGACACCCTGTTGCTGGTGAATCCCAACCCATGTCTCACAGTCAAGGCCCCCAGGAGAGCTTGCTCCCAAAAAAGCATCTGGCTGTGCTCAGAGGAATCCCTCAAGGCAGGCTGAACTTCACCTTGCCTTCTCCATCAAAAAGCTCTTCACCTCCCAGAGCTTCTTGCCTCCCCTGCACTTCAAGGTGGCAGTGTATGTGTGCCATGCAAGGATCTCGGGAGTCCTCTCTCTGTGCTCTCAAGTCTGTCATCCTCCTGGCTGTCTCTTGTACAGTGGACACACTGTCCAAGTGCACATTCACTGGTGTTTGAAGGTCCTGACTGTCCTGACTGCATTCGGTGGGTATCTGCAGAAGTTCAAGTTGAACCTGAACCTCTGACCTTATCTGGCACCAATGCCAATGCCAAGGGGTTGGCACTGGTTCTGATTCTAGGGACTTTTTCTCAGTTGATGCATCAGGGAATGGAGAAGAAAGGAAAAGAGAAACCATGGTTCTGGGAACCAGAAGAGACATGTCCTCTGTCAAGTGCTCCCACAGAGAAGCTGTAGAAACAGCTTCCCCAGAAACTTGGGAGAATGTCTGTCCAGAGAAGCCTCAAGGACTAGGAGCAAGGTCTCCATTGTCCTCTGAAACCCAACATCTCTGTGATCTGAGTGAGCTTTCCAAGACATGCAACAGACAAAGACACACTGCAAACCAGTTAACCCCCTGAGCCCTTCTGGTTCCTTCAGGTAACTCATGTAAGGAGAGAAAGTACTTGGGTACATCACCTACTCACCTTTCTCTTAGGGACAACTAAGTGTCTGAGCTCTCCAACTGGGACATCAATGAAATGATACTTGGGGTGGCAGATCAACGCCCTAATTTGAAAACTCCTGTTTTAGTTTTCTGGATGCCACCACCCCTTGGGAAAACAGGGAGAAGATTCCAAGATTGGGCTCAAAATTAATGAAGATCAGACTCAAGAGACTGTCTACTTCTGAAAATTAACCCAGGCTTTAGGAGGGAGCCAAGGAGAAACGGGTCGAACAGAAGCTGTGTGTGTGAGGAGTTGACACAGAGCTGAGAACCCTCTATTATTCAGGAAATTTCCACTGAGTTTAGCTTATTTAACCCTTATTATCTTAGTATTCATTAGAATTTAGCTGCTCTCTGTCTCTCCAAGACAGGACCCAGGAAAAGCAAGGGAAGCCTTGCAGACTGACTTGGCCTGTGTCAGGCCTTCTAACTGAAGCAATAAGACAAGCACACTATATGATTCACAGTTACCACTCTCCTCCCTAAAACCTTCCCTGATTCACCAGCCTCAGTGAACTCCCAAATCTCCAATGCAGACTGATTGTCACCAGTATGGCTCAAAGGGTTAACAAACCAGGACTTCTCAGACAGTTAGGACACAAGCTTATTCACCATTGGGGACCCAAGAATAGCTACACAGAAACTAGTGCTTCTTGTAGCGATTCTTTGGAGTCTCACCACAGCCTGTTTTGTCACAGTTAGGAGCACCTGGATTCTTCCCAAGCCCAATGCTACCCAGAAGGCTGGGGAGCTCCTGTGTGATGGCTCGTTCAATCTTCTCCAGGAAGCAACCCCCCATGTAGGAGCACTGCTGAGAGAGGAGTTTGAAATTGGAAATGGGGTTGATGCCAAAGAAGTCCTTATAAGCCTCACGGTTGGGAAGGTCAAACTTGCTGACGTTGGTCTTTGCCAGGATGGTCTTGAAAATGTAGAATTTATCAGGATCTTCCACAATGTCCTTAAAGACCAGTTCCCCATCACTGAAGAAGGTCATTTTGTCCTTGTAAGTCTGCAGATAGCGGTCAACTAAAAGGGCGTGAATTCGGACTCGGATGGCATGCTGGCGAATAAAAGCAATCTTGTTCTCTAGCCTGTTCTCAATCACCTGGTTCAGGTCTTCCAGGAGAGAGATCTCTTCTTTGAGGAACAGTTCCCGGTGGGTATCAGGCTTATAGTCCTGAGGCCAGAAGGAGCTGACATAAACCCGTGGAGGCTCTGTGACATTGATGAGAGGGGCCAAGCTCCAGAAGAGAGCTCCATACACCCGCATGAGCATTTGTGTGGCCAGGTTGTCAGCCTTGTTCAAAATGATCCTTATCTGGGACTCTCGGCCCTTCAGTTGGCGGAAGAGCATCTCCAACTCCAGACCCACATCCAACTTGGTGGGATCAAAGACAACAAAGATGAGGTCGGCTCTGTCGATGAACCACTGACACACATCGTTGAAGGGGTAACCTTGGGGAAACAGGAATGAGGAGTCAGGCTGAGTGGGGCACACGTAAAGCCCTTTGCACCTCCCTTCAGTACCAAACTACTGTACGGGCTAAACAGAGCCATAGCACTGGCTAGTTCCTGGGCTTCTAAAGATCCGTGAGCATTATCTCTTGCTTTTTGTCAACCTTCAATCAAGAACAGTCTGATCCCTAGTGAAGGGAAGGTTTTGTGCAGAGCACACATTTTTATGCAGTGTGTGGTGTAATCCCAGCACTCAAGAAGGCAGAGGGAAGAAGATCTTCAGTCTAAGGCTGAGCCACTGAATAAGACTGTGCTTCAAAACCAGCAACAAAAAGAACAAAACTGGGACTAGAGAGATGTCTCATTGATTCAGAATGCTGGCTGCCCTTTCCGAGGACCCAGATTCAGTCCCTAGCACATACATGCCGCTCACAACTGTAACTTGAGTCTCAGAGGAGCCAGCTGCTTCTTCTGGTCTCTGTGGACACCAGGCATGCATGTGGTGCAGACATACATGCAAGCAAAACACCCATACACATAAAAATAAGAATGTTTTTATTTTATCTTATTTTTAGTTTTTGAGTCAGGGTTTCTGTGTAGCCCTGGCTGTCCTGGAACTTACTGTGTAGACCAAGCTGGCCTCATACTCAGATATCTGCCTGCTTCTACCTCCCAAGTGCTGGGATTAAAGGCGTGCACCAGTACCACCCAGCTAAGAAATAATAAAATGTTTAAAGGAAAAAACCAAGTGATTTTCCAAATGTCTGAAAGATCTAGGACAATGGCAGAGATGTTGAAAGGAAGAAATCAGGAAGCCAGAGGAGAAAGGATGTGTGTTTAAGGGACAGAATTGTGTGGTGAGTGTTGAGCATCTGCCGTGACCTGGACTAGCATTTTAGACTTTGCTATATAGGCTAGCCAGATGGTACCTGCTCTTAATTTCTTGTTCATCAGCTATAATATTACAAAAAGAACAATAATACCAAAGCTGACTTAGAGACTACTGTGCTAGGCTGGCTGTAGTGGTACCTAACTTTAGTCCCAGCAATCAAGATAATCCCAGCACTCAGAAGGCAGAGACAGGAGGATCTCTGTGAGTGCGAGGCCAGCCTGGTCATCATGGCAAGTTCCAGAGAGGGGGTGGAAACTGTGTTGTGAAAGTGTAAAACACTCAGCTGAGTCTGCAGTCACACGGGTGCTCATCATATATTAAGTCTTCTCCCTTGCTTCCTTGACTTTCTTATTTACTGACGAGACGACAGGACTACCACCATGATGGCTATTCTCGGTTGTCTACTGACTGCACATGGAGTTAACTAAAACCTGAGCTGCTGGAGTCACCTGAGGGACTTTCCTGAATTAAATTATTTGAGGTGAGAAGACCCACTTTTAATCCAGGTCTTTTTGTTTTTGATTTTGTATTTTTTTGTTCTGTTTTGTTTTGTTTTGTTTTTTTGAGACAGGGTTTCTCTGTGGAGTCCTGGCTGTCCTGGAACTCACTCTGTAGACCAGGCTGGCCTCGAACTTAATCCAGATCTTTTAAGGTGGGAAGAGCTACCTTTTAAATCTGGTACACACCTCCTGCTGGCAGCCTTTATAAAGGACATGGAAGAAGGAAGCTTGCTCTCTTTTCTGTCTTGCCCTCTATCTCCTGCCAATCTATTCCTTCACTTGCAATAGAGCCTGCTTCTTCAGGATTCCAGTGTATAATCAAGACGAGCTAAGACAGTGAGCCTGGTAGACTAAAGAGCTACTGGATTCTTGACCTTTCTGTTGGTAGACAGCCATTGCCTGTAACCCACTCTAATAAATCCTAGATAGATAGATAGACAGATGGATGGATTCATTCTATAATTTCTGTTCCTCTAGAGAACCCTGACTAATACAACAATTTTGAGAACACTGATTTTTTTATAATTACCGGTCAAATAATGTATAAAGTTATCTGATTGATAATAGGGCATAATAAGGTTATCATTAACTATAAATTACGTTGTCACTAATAAACCAGGCCTAGTTATAACCCAGATGCACGTCATAACCATACACTGAGATTTTACCATTTGGTTACTATGACTGCCCTATTTAGGACACCTGAGTACTGATATCCCTGTGCCATGGCAGTATATCAATGGCCTATGATATAGCCTCATGCTTACCAGGCCCAGGATAGCAGTCCCTTGCCCTCTCAAGGCAAGAAGGGTTCTGGGACACCTAATAAAGGTTTAGGCTAAAGCAGGCCCAACAAAACAGATATTAGGAGTAAGAAGATATGTAGGCTGTGTTCAATGGAGAGTAAGCCCAAGCCCTATGTTAGCCAGAATTCAAATATAATTCACCAGGATACAATTAGTCCAGGTCCTCCACTATTCAGGAAAAACTGGGCACCCAAAGACAACATGTTCCCAGCTTGGACATCTCTGAGATCTTACAGAGAAGACCAGTACTCTCCCTAGGAAAATACCGGCCATTTCCAAACTCCTTTAGGAGGCAGAGAACAAGACATTCCAACCCCCAAAGTGTCACCACAGCCACAGTCAGAAGCAATGGAGAAGAGAATGCATCTCTCAGTCAAGAACATTAACCATCCTTTCTTCTCTGCTGGCCTATGACCCTCTGTTGATCACACTGTCCTAAAACAGAGCTCTTGCTATTCAGAAATGGCTCTGTGTGTGTGTGTGTGTGTGTGTGTGTGTGTGTGTGTGTGTGTGTTATGTGAGGGTGAGGGTATGCCCATAAATTTGCTTATATTGGCCAAAGGAGTATGGTAGGTGTCTTGCTTTACTGCTTTCTGTCTTA